AAACAAAACTAGGGATATACCTGATTTTGACAAAGATATGGGAGCCAGGGACATGAAGATGCAGATGGAGGACCGTGGCAGAGAGGGGAGGGCGTAGGAACCCGGCACCGCCAGAGAAAGTAGATAGCTAAACAATGTGAAGTAATCTGGTTTATTTATTTAGCAAATATTTATTGAGCACCTACTATGTGCTTGGCATCAGGCTAGGTACTAGGAATACAAATGATGAGTTGTCCTGTGGCTAAGAAGCTTGTTTTAATCGCAGGGCTGAGGCCATTTGTCCATCTAAGGTCACAGATAAACTGGAGTCTGTGCATAGCTTGCCTCTGGGCCACACAGCACAATCCATTTCCTCCCTTATATGATGGCACTGCAGACACCTCCAGTCCCCCATCCTCCAAATGCTCTTCTTTAATAGGACTTGTCATCCTCAGAGGAGAGAGCCAGAGGAGGCCTGGGGATTGGCACTGGAGTGATACTGGCCATGAAGAAACCAGTCCACATGGTTCCTGCACCACAGAGCTTCAAATGCATGGGGATCCGGCTGAGGCAGGGGAGAGCTGGTGCTGGAGGAGGCCTCTAGCAAAGAGACACCTGCAGGGGGTGAACCCAGGCCTGGTCAGCCTTGCTTCTGAGATGCTACTGGGAAAAGCCGGGACTCTGCCTGCTCCCCCAGATCATAACCTGAGGCTCACATACACAGGAGGCTCAGAGCCATCCCTGCACCTGCACTTCTTGCTTGCTTTTCTCTTGCACTGCTACTTCTGTGCTCATCTTTTGGGTAAGCTTTATTGAGTTATAATTCATTCACTATGCAGTCCACTGGCTCTTGGTGTGCAGTTTGACTCGCTCTCATTCAGATTAACTTCAGGGAAAAGTGTGGGGCAGGGTCATGTGTTTTGTGTTCTCCACTCCGACTTCTTGGCTTCCTAGGAGCAGCCTGGCAGCCATGGCTTTGACATTGAAAGGCAGGGGAGAATACCATTGAGAGCCTCTAGTTGAAGTTTATAAGCCAAATGGCTCCTTCCTAGGAGGGAGAGCTGAGGTCTCTGCTGCTGTGCTGAGGGGATGTGAGGCCAGGCCCAGGAAATACCTCCTAAGACCTAGGAGTGAGGAACATTGCTGAGGGGTCACCGAAGGAAGTGGCTGCTGGTCCCAACTCAGCCACGTCAGGTTGCTATGGTGACTCAAGTTCATTCCTCCCTCTGAATAGTCCCTGGGCTTTCTTGAATGCCCCACAGCAATCTCTCCCCTGGGGTTCTGATCCATAGGTCTGAGGTGAGGCCCAGGCATCTTTCCATATATAAAGCACCTGGCGATTCCAGTGATAATCATAACTGTGTATTGATTTTGATGTCCATCATTAAGACAGAGGTTCTCACTCTTGAGGGCTTGTTGCTGACTTATGGGGTGTGGCCAGAGAATTAGCCTTTCTAACAAGTTCCTTGGCTCTGGTTGAGGAACTATATTTTGAGAACCATTTGCTACAAAGTTTTGAGAAACCACTTGATTTCTCTGGAAATCATCCCAATCTGAAACACTGGGTCGGCAAACTCATTAGTGAACAGAACCAAATATCAACAGTACAACAATTGAAATTTCTTTTGAGAGCCAAATTTTTAAAACTTATTCTAATGCTACTTCTTCAAAATAGACTCGCCCAGGCCTAGTCTCATTCTTAACTCTGATCTGAATCAGCTGGGAGTGAACCCTCTGCTGCCCAGGCCACATTCTAGAGCAAAAATCAGAACAGCTGAGGCAGGGCCAGGACTTGACATTTTCTTAAAGTCCCCCAGGCCTGTGGTCAGCTCCTTGGCCCCTTGAGTGTGGCTCTTCCACAAAATACCACAACCTGAGTGAGTCTATTTTGAAGAAGTGGTGTTAGAAGAAGTTTAAGTTTAAAAAATTTGACTCTCAAAAGAAATTTCAATGGCTGTACTGCTGATATTTGGCTCTGTTGACTAATGAGTTTGCTGACCACTGCTCCAGGCCATGTCCAGGTAAAACCAGGGCTGAGAACATTACCCTGGAAGTGTTTGAAGGTCAGCTAACCTGAGAGCAAAGAGGAAAGACAGGGAGAGAGTAGAAGACAAAGGTTATGAGAGCTAGAGTGGGGCAATGAGCCCCAAAGAGTCTGAGCCAGTGTGTCATTTTTTTTAAAAAAAATATTTTTTTTTATTGATTTTTAGAAAGGAAGGAAGAAGGAAAGAAACCTTGATGTGAGAGGAAAACATCAATCAGTCATCTCCGGAATGCCCCTTACTGGGGATCAAGTCCTCAACCCAGGTACGTGTCCTGACCCAGAATCGAACCAGCAATCTTTTGGTGCACGGGTTGATGCTCAACCAACTGAGCCACATCAGCCAGGGCTAGGGCCAGGATGTCATCTTAGCACAGCCCTGAAGCTCCTCTTCAAGGAAGCACCTGCATCTTCCCTCCTTCCTCGTCCTAGGAAATTCAGAAGTGAGAGCAAGTTCCTTGCAGAGCATTATTGTAGGGCTGATTGCTGAAGGCCTCCCAAGCCAGAAAAGCCTTCTGACCACATACTGGCTTACACGTGGGGGTGATGCTGCAGGAACTGGGGCTCTGACTAGAGTGGGCTGGAGCACAGTTGCGTTCTCTTGGCCCATTGCCCAGTGATGGAAGCCCAGCTATACTGTGGTGAGATTAAACCAGGCCTGGAAATATGTCAGCCAAGGCACCAATCCTTTGCCACTCAAGGCCAAGTTGCATGCTACAGGTAGACCCATCCAGAATTGGCAAAAGGAACAGACGCAGCTTCCTAATTGTGTACATGGCTGGGCCACAGACAACCAGTTATCTGAAAGAAAAGCCTTTGAAATCCACTTAGCAGCAACATTATGGAAAAATCCCACTGGTATTCAAAGATCTATTCACATGTTAAGGGCAAGCTTTGTTTTACCTTGGCCATTATCCAGTTTGGGCCAAGATTGGGCTAGGAGACTTCAGGCTTCTAATTTGCTGTTGCTGTGGTCAGGGGTCAGAGCCTTGAGTTCTGTGGTCAGTCCCAAGGGGCTTTTTGTCCTGCAAGACACCCCGTGCTCTGGTAAGAGTGTCTCCATTCATTCCCAGGAGAATGAATATTCATGACTAAATGTTTACTTATAATTTAAAAAAGCACCAACAAACTTAAAACCCAGATCAGAGAATAAAACACAAGTTATGATCTCACTGGAATTTGCCAGGGGCTCCCCTTTAACAGAGAGAAAGACATAGCACTTTATGCCAGAATTTGGAATTCTATTTTTAGAATTTTTAAGCAATAACAAATGCCTAAAGAGTTTACTTCATAAATTTCTCCTAAGAAGGTGTATGAATTGCAACACTTAGAATTGGGGATGCTGGGAGAATCTGGGAGATACTTTCATGGAAACTTGGATTTCTGGCTTAGGTACAAGACATTTAGAAAAATGTGTGATAACATCACTGAAAAGTAAAGGAAATAAGAGATGTCCTCAGGATGCTTGGAGATTTCTGGTCCAAATTCGGGCAGGATCTCTGCTTGTGCCCTTAATCAAATCACTTAACTTTTTGGTCCCCCTTGAGTCTATATTGATATAAGGGAATGAATATATTTTCCTCTGCCCAAGAAGCTCAAATAACATTGCAAATTCCAAAAGTTTAAGGAAAAACATGCAATTCCTGCATGCTAATATTGGGAAGAATTTGGTAAATGGAATACCAAAAGGATGACACCATTAGCTTGTGTGCCTCCGTGGCCAGATGTTTCATATTTCTTATATGCTCCACAGTCAGCTTATTTCTCCTTATGTCAATCATTCCCCTCCAAAACCCCACCCACCGCAGGACGAGATATGGACTGCTTCCTTGCTGCCTTCTTGGAAGGAGGTGCTGCTGAACTGCCATCCCAAGAGATCTATTGGGGCAACAGGAATGAAATTCATGATCCATTTGCAAATCACACCACATATAATGAACTGAGTCTCTCGTCAAAAGAAAAAAAAAAACTTTTATTTTTTTCTATTGCATAAATAATGGTAAATTAGACTCTTTTTTATACAGATTATATATTTACAGACAGGTTTGGTTAGAGAAAACATCTGGTAAATATGGCAGTCAGTTTTCCTTTTATACACTGAGATAACATATTAATAATATATGCTTCATTGGATCAGTAAGTTGCATGCCGAGTTAATTTATATTAATATTTACATTTTATATAAAGATTTTCTTTTGACTAGTCTGCGGACTCTCTCATCGCTTAATAGCAGAAATCATCAACCGATACTACATGGGGGGAAAAAAAAAGCGAGAATGAGGTAAATGGGAAGATTGTCACCCAGGATTTCAGACTTCGTGGCCCATTCTGGACAGGAGAGCCGCCAAGCTCCACTTGTCCTGGTTATAACCGTCCTCAACTGCACTCCGATTTGCACCCAGCCATTTGCCACTGTGCTTTGAGAAAAGATTCACATCTCAAGTCTGACAGCCCCTAGGATCACAGAGGTCCTGCACCTCCAATAGATGACCAGTTGCCAATCCTACTCCCTAACCAGATTTTCGGGTCTGATTCCCCTCTGAGGGCATTGTCTTCGGTTAGTCGTTGGCGACATAGCCTCTTCCTGGATTCAGAATCGGGGAAGAAAATCAAATCCCATTAAGCAGCCATTCAAGGACCTCCGAAACCTGATTTCTGGGTCAGCAAGAAAGAATATTCTTTGATCTTCCTTGGAGAGAGGCTGAGAGACATTTCCACCAGGAACTGAAAGGGCCCTTTCCTGGCCAATCTAGGTCTTTCCAGGGAAGAATAGAAATAAAAAAAGGAAAAAAGGACTGAAACCTAGGAGTTATGTTGTCATGGGCAGAAGGGCTGGAGACTTGGGAGGTTCCTGCAAACACTCTCTTCCTGCCCTCTCCCCCTCGTCATGCTTGGCCCACACCTCCAGCAGGCCCCTGTGGATTCCGTCACCAACCAGCTAAAGGGCAAGCGCAGGCGCTGGTCTCCCCAGACTGTCCGTCTAACTCCTGACTGTCACCAGAGGTCCCACAGCTCCCTTCTGCAGGGTCACAAGTAACTGCAAACCACAATCACGTACACTAGAACTGCCATTCCAGTGGCCAGACAGAAAGGAAAGAAAGAGATGGTCGGAAGTTGTGCTCTTTATTCCATAGCTTCTTTGGGCTTTCTCAGTTGGAGAAACAAGCACCTTTTCCTGGAATCTGGCTTTGTTTCCCCCTGCTTCCGCACGTGTTCTGACTCCTGCAACCTGTGGTAAGGTGATCAAAGCCCCTTCTTTCTCACCCTGGCTAAGCCAGGACATGTTCCCTTGAATCAGCCAGACCCTAGAAAGTAAATGAAACCTCCTGTCCGCAACACATTTGATATGAGCCAATTTGCATTGTTTCGTCTATAGGCAATGGACACCACACGAGATGCTTTATTACAAACGGCCTCTTGGCACTTGTGTTAAAAAAAGGAACTCGGTCACTAATGTGATTCCTAGGGGATTATAAGGCCCTGTCAAGAATGGGCATTCGTTTTGACTTGTTTCAGACAAACGAGTCACAAGGGGAGGGCTCTTCTGGGTCATCTGGTTTACCTTTCCTCTCGCTTTAAAGATGAGAGACCTGAGGCCAAGAAGGGAAGTCACTCAGAATTACCCAACTAGGGGTGGCAGGGGCACCTGGGGTCCTGCCTCCTGTGCCCTTCCCAGCTGAAAAAGCTGCCCGCACGCCTGGTTCTATGCTCTGCTCTCCTGGCTTCAGTTCAACAGGTCCGAGGCCAGGCAGAGAGCCTGGGAGAGGTGTTGGGGTCCTGGCCACTGTCAGCTCCCCGCAAGGAGAGAGGAGCAGCCAGCCTGCTCTTGAGATTCCCAGTGCATGTCCTTGGGAACAGGCTGATGGCAGCAGCGCCACGGCACTCAGTGCCCTGTGTTCCCAAAGCCGACCTGACAGACAGGGAACACGTTCAGAGACCAGCCTCTGCAGCCCTTTAAAAACTGTCTTTTTCTCTCTCAGGTCCAGGCATGTGCCAACATCACCCTTGGATTTTGCATTCCCTGGGGTATTTCTTCCTAATTATTCTGCTCTTCCTCTCCACTGGAAAGTTCCGGCCTCTGCATCCTTTCACTTGGACAATAACTTCTAACAGTGTCAGAAGCATCCGCCCATCATGCTCAAGGAAAAGAGGTGGGTGAGGGCTCCGCCAGCATCCCAAGAGGGCTGCGCAAGCTACCCAAGGTAGGGGCAAGGGGCAGGAGGCTGGCTACGCCTTTTCCAGTCTTAGAGAACTGTTCTGTGGGGCCGGCAAAACCTGATTCTCTGTGGCTCTATTTCAAGCCAAATGAGTCAAACTAATTTCACCTTGAAGACTTTCGGAGCATTGTTACAATGTCCTTTGAGACCATATCAAAAAGGGCTCCAAATCAATAAGAAGTAGAAACCATAGCTGCAATAGCGATGAGCATAGGATACCAAGAGAAATGCTTGGATGGTTTGTGTACTTGACCTTATTCCCCCAAATCAAGTGTCTCTGGCAAGGCCACTTAACTGAGGACAGTCCCCTGAGTGACTAAGTCAAAGGAAGGATGGAGTGAGGCTGAACAGTTCTGACATTTAAATTGTCATGGAGACAGGGTCCATAAAAGCAGCCCAAATCCTCCTCTCTTTCGCCATCACTGTAAATAATTCAGATTGAAAACCCTAGCTGCTATTTCTTTTCTATTTCTGATGGATCTCTCCCCCCCCACCCCCTATTGGGGGCAGTTTAGCCATGAGGTGGTGAGGGAGGATGGCTATGCAAGGTCCCTAGGTTACGGACTTTTAGCCCTGAGAGGTTGCTGAAGAGGCCACGTGACAACTCTGACCTGCGGTCATTTCAGACATATTCTGCAGGGAAGGTAATGTAACTGGTGTGTGCCGCAGTCTAGAAGCTTAAGCTCAGCCCATCTGCATTATCGTGGCATTATAGAAAAAGGGGCACCTCCTTTTTACAGTGGGGTTTGGGACCTTCTCTATGTGTCAGTGGAGCAGGGTGAGTGACGATTCCGATGGGCCTTTGGAGAAATGCAGGAAGATGAGCCAGTATGATGCGAGACCTCCAGCTGGGAGGAGCAGCGCTCAGCAGCCTCCATGGGGCCGGAGAGCCAGGGCCCCGCAGATCAGGTTGCCACAGCATCTGGCCACCACGGCTAGGCCAGCCCAGCTACGGGGTGGAGCTGTGCTGAAGTCACACCTGTACTCTAATTGTTTTTGATTTATGGTCTGATTCTGGATTTAGACGTGGAAAAGGCATTTGCAATAAAATAAATTTCTCCTAGTGCTTAGATAGATCACTTTAGGATTCCATGGATGGGAGGTCGGGAGAGACATTGTTGTCAAACTGTGCTTGCCATCTTTCATTAGGTTCTCCTGGCTAGCTATAGAGAGCAGACTGGCAGTTTCCAATCGGTGTGCCGAGGCACCTGGTGCGCAGCATACATTTTTCAAGCATGCACTCACTGCCTGACTGCCAGGGGCACTGACCTCTTTTCCTTTAGGTTGTCAAAAAAGTGACAACAGCCAACCTAATAGCCATCCAGTGTGCATGAATCAAAATTACACCTTTTTTTTTTGTCAGATCGGTAAAAATATATATTTTTTGGTGTGCCGCAGAATTTATGTAATTAGCTTATGCGAGCCATGAGATGAAAAAGATTGGAAATTGCTGGAGCAGACCATTTGTCCTGTGAAACCTGAGACAGGAGCAGGTATCAAGAACGAAGACTTGCAGGACACATCGTCTCTGCAAATGGAACACCCAGCGTCTCCTGAAACCACTGGCCTTGCCCAAGACCACATGTCAACTTCGATTCACGTCAGCTCACATTGCTGACTCCTGGGAGAGTTTCTTAACCGGCAAAAAGATGCTTTGGACCGCTGGGGCTTAAAATAGTTCTGCCTTCCAGATGACCCTTCTGACTTTCCCCCCAGATTGAGAGGTCTTTGCTCTGGGCCCTGGGAGGTGGGGGAGGGGGAGAGTAGGGAAGGTGCTACCTGGCTCCGGGGTAGCTCCTGTTCTCCTGAGCAAATGGGAGGGCAGGTTCAAGCACAAAAGAAAAAAGGGCAAAGGAACCAGGAGATGTTTTAAGGGTAATTTCCCCGCAGCAGGATGTGGATGCAGGGAGTCAGGTTGCAATCAGGCAGAACCCGAGTGTTCTTTAAGAGAATGTTCCCTATTTTTGTGTGCCTTGGTGAACTCTGGGTGGAATGCAAGGGTTGCCATGGCAACCCCCCTCCCCCCCCCCTTTTTTTTTACAGATTGGTCACATGGGACCCACACACACATTCTGGAAGTCACTGCTAATAGTTCCCATGCTGGGTCCTGTTTGGGGGCCCTGCCTGCTTCTAGAGTGATGGGTGACAGCTTCTCGGAGGAGGGGGTGGGGTAAGGGCATCAGGGTCTGTATTTCTTGTCTCTCAGGCAGAGTGCCTCCTTGATCATCCCTGTGTGGCCTGGGGGGCACCCATTCTTGCAACAAGAATGAGCCAAACTCCACTTGCCAGTCACTCAGAATAGACCCATATGTCTAGTAGCTAAGAGCACAGCGGGAGAGTTGATGCCCTCTTCTCATTTCCTGCAGAGGTCACCTCCCACTGGGGCCACAAGGCATGGGGGACCAGGATCGTCTAGAGTCTTCATCCCTGTTGTGAGGACGCTGACAGGTATGGAGCCCTGGAGCGCACTGGTATGGATAGGACTGGGGGTGGCCTGGGGCAGTCAACACCCTGAGCTGCCCGACAAAGACCATCCAGACAAAGCAGCCACGGTGCAAGTCACTGGGACGAGCTCTCAGCTCTCAAAGTCTCAGGAAGGCCACCATTCTGGGTTGTCCCCACACTGCAGCCTGTGGGACACATCTGAGGCTATTATGGAGGAGGTTCACTTCTAGCCCACCGAAGAGAGTTTTGTGGATTCCTTCATGTCCTCTCTCCCGGGTTTTCTCTGGGGAAGGATGGCTGTCTTCCCGGTCACTGGGAGAGGAAAGAAGTCCTCTTTGTGGGGAGGACTTTGTAGAGAACAGGCTGTTGGTGCCTTTTGGGAACTCTTTTAATCTCCACCCTGCATGATGGCTAACCTGCCTTCCAGCAAAGGCTAACCCTCCCATCACCGGGGTACCCGTTCTCCAGCGAGAGGCAGAGGAACCTGCAGACAGCAGCCTTTGAAGAAGTATGCTTTCGTAGCCCTCAAGTCCAGCCTCACCTAGAGCATTGCAATCCCCTCTCGTGGGCACAGTCCTTTAAGAATCGTCCCTGGGGTCTCTATCTAGTCTACTTAGGATCCTGCACCTTCTCCCCCCCGCCCCCCCGCCCCAGTACAATGTAGTCTAGTGGTTCAGGGGTCCTTCCCACCTGAGTGCAATCCAGATAGGGAGGGCCAACTGCTTTGGGCAGGAGCTGATGATGAAGCTGTCCTATTAGTATGCTATGTTTGGACCTGTTCTTGTTCAGGATTCTGATGGGGGTGGTAGGGTGAGTCAGGCAAGGGAGAGAGGAGAGGCAGGTGTGCTGTGGCAGGGCAGGGTGGGCAGGCAGGCTGGTGCTTTCCTGGCCTGGATGTGTGGGACGCCAGGCATGCTCACAGACAGTCTCTCATGCCCCTGGACTCTCGAAAGCTTCCACCTGCTCCCTCCTCTGTACTATGGCTCAAACCCTAGTTTTTCTTGTGCTCATCATGGATATTCCCAGTCTCCCACGGGGGGTGGGGGGGAGTTCCTACAGCTGCCCCCAGGCTGCTGCCTGAAGCGCGTGCAGAAGTGAATCGGATGAAGACCCTACACGGAGACTGTGGATGCTCCACGTCCGAGAAGGCAGTAAGGAGAAGGCGGAGAGGGAGGGGAGGTTCAGGAACACACACCCCACCCAAAAGCCTACCTGGCTGCAGCGAGAAAGGAAAGGTTCTGGAACCTCAAAGCTTTCGGCTGCAAGAGGAGCAAGACAATCCCATCATAGACATAAAGACCTGAGCTTGGAAAAGTACAAAGGGAAATGTTCCATTGAAAGGGTATTGGCTAACCAGACTATGCAAGCTTGAATTAACAGTGGAGGCTGATACGACATGTAGGAAAAGTCAGGAAATTACAGACTTGAAATGGTGTTGGAAACAGAATACTGGATTCGGTTTCCTTCCCCAGCAGAAGTATTCTGTAGGCAGGAGTAAATGACCTGTACTGCCGGCTAAGCTTATTAACATCTTTTCCTTTGTTTTTTTTTTCTCTCTCACGAAAATGAGTCAGTTGCAGGATCCAAACGCCTGAAGATAGTATGGAAAATACAGTAGTTTGATCTTTCCACTCTGGATTGTACTCCTCTTCTTATCTGGGGAAGACTAACTTACAAGCCAAGTGTAAGGTGAGGAGAAGGTAAGATGCGTGAGGACCTTAGTTCACAGGGTCTTCTGGCAGGGAGACGTGTACGGGCTCCATTGATGCGGATGACCAGGGCGAGGGCTGCAACACCTCCTCACCGCCAGTCTCAGTCCCCGTCCCCCAAACTCAGACCTCTCCCACCCAAAAGAGGCAGGGCTGTGGGTCGGAGGGTAAGCTTATGTGAGGAGTAAGTGACTGGGGAAGAAGGATGCCACACATGAAGAAGCCAGATAGATACGTCTATCTACGTGTCTATGTGATTATAGAGATGCCCACGAGTATGCTTTTTTTTTTTTTTTTTCTTTAATGGCAGCACAAGCGGCATAGCTGGGAGGAAGGCTCTCTGCAGATTCCAAAGTGCTGGTGCGTGATGGGCTCTAGGAACAGAAAGCCAAGTGCAGATGGAAACCGAGAACTCCCCAGCTCTGCCAACTAGAGTCCTGTCGAAAGGCGGTAAGAACGGAAGCATGGGAGCAGCTGCAGGTCCTGCACCCCTCAGATAGCTTTCCCATCATGCCTTGCGGGGGGTGGAGGAGGGACAGGTGGAGAGCTCCCTCTTCTGCAGCAACTCTGAAGTCACCCCTTGGGTTGCCCTCAGGGGTCTCCAGTTGCCCCCCCCCCCGGGGGGGGGTTGAAAGGGTGGGGCGGGAGGTGACTGCGTGTTCACGCCTCTCCCTTGCTCTTTTACCACTGGTCCGCATGGAATTCCGAGATGAAAATGAAGTTCCTGTTCGGAGTTTCTGCAGGTGGTTGAAGCGATCCTTCGGAAAACTCCTGGCTATTTATTGCATTAGGAAACAAAACCATTAAAGCATTGAAGACAGCCCTTGTGTGTCCCTGCCAAGGAGATGAAGTGGACTTGCAACGGAGGAGGTTGCACTGCAACCTCGGGGTTCTTCGCCGAACTGTGCCGCGTCTGCATCGTCCAGATCTGCTTTTTGTGGAGGAGGATTGGCCCGCAGGGCGTGCGCATGCGCAGTGAGCGGGGGCCGCAGTGGCCGGTGGCGGGAGGCGGCTACTCCATGCCGCTCCGCAGGATCTGGTTGGCGGCGATCAGCATGACGCTGATGATGAAGGCCATGGCGAAGGCGCAGATGAGGCTCTTCCGGACGCAGGTCTGCCTGTTCTGTTTCTGGGAGTGCACTGGGGGAGGAGGAGAGAGGAGAGACAGGACACAGTGAGATGAGACAGGCTGCACCTCTTCCTCAACAAGCCCGAGTCCAGGCCACAGGATGCAGGCTGGTCAAGTCCATTTCTGGGACCACTCTGAACATCTGAACGTGTTCTGGCAAATGGTATAAAAATGGTGAGGCTTCTATACCAAAGACCGTGACAAATGTGATGTTCAGGGAGTCAGGCCTAGATTTCCAGATGTAATAGAGTCCCCATGACTTTCTGAGGGAGGAAACATGGAACCTTTCAGAGTGAGTTTCACAAAGGGGCATCAGCCGGGCCCTGCTGTGACTGTTTCTGCGGAGTGCCTGGCCGCCACATCTGAGGCGGCTGATCACAAACAGCCGTATGAGGCCGGAAGCAGCTTACCTTTCCCAGGATTGTTCTTGTGTGGCTGCTGATCTATTTAATAAATAACTCTAAGCAACTTGCGGCATTATTTTCTATGTGCCCACAAGTGATTCTAGAGAGGGGTCCCTGGGCAAGCAGTGTCTGCATCACACAGGGCTGCAGATTTTTTAGCCCGGCTCAGTGGTTGAGTGTTGACCTAGGAACCAGGAAGTCACAGTTCAATTCCCAGTCAGGGCACATGCCCAGGTTGTGGGCCCAATGCCCAGTAGGGGGTGTGCAGGAGGCAGCCGATCAATGATTCTCATCATTGATATGACTATCTTTCTCCCCCTCTCCTCTCTGAAGTCAATACAAATATAGAAAAAATATAGATATATAGATATTTTTTTAAATGCAGCTTTTCAGGTGGGGCCTCACCCCAGATCTACTGAGTCAGTGACTGAGGATTAACTGGGTGATCCTGGTGCATGCTGATGTCTGAGAAGTGGGGACCAATGCATCTAGACAAGACCGGTATGAAGATCCTGCGGCCCCAGGGGTCTGACCTTGGGCCCTGGGATTGTGGACTCTTCATCCTTTTGTCGGCCAGCTCTTGCACCACTTTCCTAAGGCCCACCATTAGTGGCTCTCAACCACAAGGCATTAATTAGTGGGTTATTAATATGGACCACGAATTTGGAAATAACAAAGAATTTTGGTAACTTGTGCTGAGAAAGAACAGGTCTCTTTTCCAGGCATCACTTCCCAGGCCAGATTTCTTTTTTCCTCCTTTTTGTCTACACTTCCTCCCCTCCTGCCCTGCAGTGATCTTGCACACAGTGTACTGCTTAGTTTATGGAAGAAACCTGCGCCCTGGAGGCTCCCTACACCAGAGCTTCTCACTGGACCAGCAGCATCAGCACCAGGTGAGTTTGACATAAACGTGGATGCTCAGGCCCCACTGAATCAAAATCTCTGACGGTAAAGGCCAGGAATGTGTTTTAATAAACTTGGCAGGTGATTAGGGAGTCACTGGGCTCAACCCCCAAAGTTTTGATTCCGTAGGTGTGGATATAGCCAAAGAATCAGAGTTTGAGTTGCTGGGAACAGGAGGTAGCTGTGTGTGTGTGTTAGGGACTCTGGGGTGGGGGGTTTGAGGGGAGATGATGCTTCATATTCAGATGTTGAGAAACCCAGTGCTGGCACAGAACCTGAAAGTACCTCCCATTTGAAAAAGGGGCCATTCTGCTAGGCTCGCCTTTAAAAATGTTCCATTTCAAGTACCTCTCCCTTTTGACATCGGTGGCTCCTCGGATCCCTGGAAATAACGGCAAAGCAGTAGGAGTCCAGTGATGTGTCCAAAGGGAAACAGCTCTCACTGAGAGAAGGGGTCTCAGGGGCCTCTAGAAGTTCCATCCCTCGGGGAGTTTCTACAGCACCCACACTTCACAGAGACCAGTGCCCAGGCGCAACTTCCCTCACCAATGAAGGTTGGTTATTGCTGCTATCATCTCTTGTTATTTCTAATTCCTGTTATCTTGTTATCTTTAATTCTTCTGGACCCTCTAGGCTTCTACCTCCCTTGGGTAATTGAAAGTCGTTTTGATTCAGTTCCTTACTTGCTGATCATGTCTAGGTTTTAGAATCTATAGGTTCTTAGCAGAAGGAAGAAATCCTCTTGTGCAGAACTGTGCCTCCCCTCCCCCAGGATGGGTAAATGTGAAGATGCCAGCCCCTCAGGAAGGGAAAGGAAGGTGGCGCTTGAGAAGGAAGGACTGAAGCAGAAATAAAATGTGATGTGGAAGTAGCGTATCTAACACTTTCTGAGGACTGGCTAATTTATTCTGAGCAGCTCCTCAGCATAAAATGTGTCTGCAGGCAGCCGGCTGCCTTGCCATCCTGAGGCTGGCGGGGGCTCAGGGAAAAGGACGGTTGTGTGACTGGGCGGCGGCGAACGTTTCTGCCAAAGCCCTCACAAAACAGGGTTACAGGGTGATCTCCCAGGACAGAGGCTGCACTTTGACCTAAAACCCTTAAGTAGTAGGAGGAGAGAGATGGAAGGAGGCAAGGCCAAGAGTTTGTACATGAGGCCAAGCAAATCTGAACCCAGACCAGAATTCTGCAAGCTGAATGGAGCTTCCAGCTCATTCCCCGGGAGCTCTGAAACAGATCGCTTGTCCATAATTCAGACTCTGCCCCGATGAGGGTCCTTTTATGCCCAATTCTGCCGTCACCCTAAGTTTTACAGTAGAATGAATAAATGAGGGCTTCAGAACCAGACCAAAAGTGATTATTTTACATCCTAGCTGTGTGACTTCGGGCAAGCTAATTTCCCTGGGCCTCAATTTCCTCACCTGTAAAAAGCAGGTAATGAAAACCTACTTTGGTGTAAAGAGTAAGGATATAGGAAGGTACTGCAATAGTTTGTGCCCAAAGGATGTGAATTCCCTTTATGTATTGAGCACCCCCTCCCATGTGAGCTAGCTATGTGCTACTTTATTGCAGTGTGGCAGTCCTTCGTGAGCTGAGCATGGGGGTCCCTGTTTAATAGGTGAAGGGCCTGAAGCGCCAAGAAGTGGAGTCCAAGGCCATTTGGCAAAGGTGGAGGTAGGATTTGAGCCCAAGTATAATTTAAGATCCAGGTTCAAAATTCCGGCACACACACTCTATTCTGAGTCTTTTTCTTGGCGGGGCAGAGTTCAGCAATAGAAAGATCCAAAGAAAATGCACTTTCGACACTTGGTGTGATTGGCAGGGAATAGTCCGGCACTAATTAATGTGTTTGTTGGTAATAATTTGAGGCCTGTCTTTGGCTGTCACACATTTGCCTCACACTGTATCTGTGAATATTTGTTTATCATCACAGTCTTTGCTTAGTTTCCCCAACAAGACTGTGGGTCAGCCTGGGGTGCATGGGGAGTTGAAGTCTGGTTTCCTTGGCTAACTGCCACTTAGGAGCAGCCCTGGGCTTCCTGCACCCGCTTCTCTCCCTGTGAAGGAGCTAATGATCACCATCCTTCTGAGCTCAAGAATTCTTTTTAAAGATCAATGAGCTAATAAAGAAAGTGAAAGCTCTGTCAAACCCTGAATCACAAGAGAAATGCAAGGTTTCCTTCTCGGATCCCTGGAGGGCAGGAGGGAAGGCCTGCTTTCCCCCTCTGCCCTGCAGCACAGCACTGAGGATCCAAACCTCTACATCAGCCCCTTCCCTCATTCATTCATCCGCACTGCGGCTAGACGCACCTTCCCAAAGCAGTGCTTCTTCGCATGCATCCGCACCCCTGCAGCCTTCCTGCAGAGGCCCCATGCTGGGAGAAGCATGTTCCCTTTCATCCAGCTCCTAAGCTCAGTGGGCAGGACCCCAGATCACCTCCTGTCCCTTTCCCACCTCTGCCCTTAAACCACCACATCCGCCTCAGCCAAGCAGGTCTCTGGCTGTTCTTTACAGGAGACTCTGCTCCCAAAGGGCCTGGTCTGTTAATCTTTTAAATGGTCTAGCTGTTCATTTGTATTTATTTTAAATTGAGACAGAAGTCACATACCATAAAATCTGCCCTTCTAGAGTGTAGCATTCAGTGGCATTTACTACAATCACAAGGTTTTGAAACCATTGCCACTACCTAATTCCAAAACATTTTCATCCTTTAGTATGATGACTAAAGGATGAAACCCTATCCAGCCCTGGCTGGTGTTCTCAGTGGTTAGAGCAATCAGCCACCATACTAAAGGACTGAGGGTCCAATTCCTGGTCAAGAGTACGTACCTGGGTTGCAGGTTCAATTTCAGGGGCAAGTTGAGAGGCAACCAATCGATGTCTTACCTCTTTCTCCCTCCCTCTCTCTCCCTTCCACTCTCTAAAAAAATCAATGGAAAAAATATCCTCAGATCAGGATTAACAAACAAAAGAAACCCCATCCACATTAGAAGTCACTTCCTCCTTCCCCTTTCTCCCCAGCAACTGGCCATCAATAACCTGCCTCTCTCTCTGGACTTGCTCATTCTTGGCCTTGTATGTACATGAAACCATACGATAGCTAGCCTTCTGTGCCTGGCTTTTCACTTAGCATAACCTTTCCAGGTTCATCATGTGTAGCATGTATAGCATGTATAAGTATTCATGACTGAATAATGTTCCACTGAATGGATATACATTGATTTATCCATTAACCAGTTGATGGACATTTGGGTTGTTTCTATTTTGTTGTTGTTGTTTACTATTATGAAAAATGCTACTATGAATATTCGTGTAAAAGTTTTTATGTGAATATATTTCCAGGGTCCTAATCTGGGTGCCATTAATTGCTGGGTCCCCTGGTAACTCTGTGGAAGCTGTTCCTTTTGGACCTTAGGAACACAAAAGCGGCCATGCTGCTGGTGCTCTTTCCTGTGTCTTCCTTTCCAGAAGGTCTGAGCTCCCTCCTAGCGTAGCACTTGATAGGGAAGTAGCCTGGATAGTAAGTGTGAGTTGGGGAAAGCTGGCACAGGAGGACGTTTCCTGATTACCTGAAAGCTTGCTAGCCCCAAACACAGACAGACTCCTGGCTGCCTGGGCCTGGTGTCTGAGCTCCAGCACAGAATGCTCCTTCCCCTTGTCCCAGGGCTCTTGGGTTTTCTCCTGGGAATAGGAGTCTACACAGACT